ATCACGTGGCAAGAGGCGCCGGGCCGGCCGCGGTCGGGCCGGCCGCGGCGCCCTCGCGTCACCGGCGCCCCCGCGTCGGCCGCAGGCGCTCTCCGACGGCGTCGTCTACAACGCAGTCGACGCGTGCGAGCGGCTCGGCGTCGACGGCGACCAGATGGACAAGCTGTGGGCAAATGCAAAGAAGAGCGACAACCTGGTCAAGTTCGGGGGAGGCTTCTACGCGGGCAAGATCCCGGCGCCGATGCCGTCGCCCAAGAAGAAGAAGGGGCTCATCACGCGCACGTCGGGCGACATGAGCGTCTTCAGCTCGGGCGAGAGCGTGCTGGACGCCGTGTTTGGACCCGAGGGCGGCAAGATGCTCTGAGCCAGGGCAAGATGCTCTGAGCCAGGGTGTGGCCGGCGCGGCCGGGGAGGGTCGCAGCCCGAGTCTGCTAGCCCGCCACTTGCCGCTCCGACCTCTCTCTCTCTCTCTCACCCTCTCCCTCCCTCACCTCCCTCCCTCTCCTCTCGGCCTCTCTCTCTCGCTCTCTCTCTCTCTCTCGCGCGCGCGCGCGCGCTCTCTCTCGCTCTATCCCGCTCTCTCGCTCTCTCCCGATCTCTCTCGGTCTCTCTCGATATCTCTCGGTCTCTCTCGGTCTCTCTCCCTCGGTCTCTGCTGTCGCACATGTATTCTCGGTCTAGCCCGCCGAGTTGTCGACGTGAGGGTGTACGGGACCTTCGGTGTCTCTCGACCCCTTTTGTTGTCGTCTCCGTCTGCTTGAGGTCTGTGTGTCCGTGAGACGATGCCCATTGTACTGAGCTGTTGAGCATGTCATCAGGGGAGCATGTCTTGGCTCGGTGTCCTATTTGGGGGTATAGAAGGAGATAGTAGGAGGTGGCGCGTTGGCCTCGAGAGAGATAGGGGGAGATAGGGGGAGATAGGGGGAGGTTGCGCCTTGGCCTCGAGAGAGATAGGGTCCCAGTAGGGCCGCAGGAACTCAAACTCGCCGCGCCTGGGGGCGAGGTGGAAGGGGTGTGATGCCGCCGCCTCGCTCCTCGCGGGCGGGTGGTGCAGGAGAGTCTGCACAAGGCGGTCTGCAGAAGGCCGGTCTGCAGAAGGTGGTGCAGAACTGCGCGAGGGTGGCGGTGCTG